AACTTCAAACTTTTTATGTTTTGACTACACCGCATGTGAAAGTTAAAAAATTAAATTATTTATTATAGATATAAAACATTGAGTTAGAAAACATTCCTATTCGATATAGTGAAAGTGTCTGTTGAGAATGTATTATCATCAGCACTGAATGTCCCCACTGAGGTGTACGGATAAAAACGGTGTAAATTTGGAGCGACTAGACTATAGTCAACCACACTGGCCCAGTGCAGGTTGGTCAACTTCACACATATTTTTGAATTTCTTCGATATGCAGGTTTTCCTTCGCCGTAATAACATCAGTGTGTATGTAAATCGAAAACCAGAGTAGTACATGGCGGTAATGTATGCCAGCATATAATTGCAAATGTAACTTTATGAACGAGTGGCATCATAAAGTTTATCAACATTTCTGTAGCACGTGTCCGCCTAAACACTACAATAGTGAGTGAAATTTGTAAAGTGTAGTTCCTGCAGCGAATAGTCCTCCGCACAGCGCCGACACGCCGCCGGTCGCGTCTGACAGCTACTAATGGATAACTTGTTGCGCCGACTGTTGCCCCGCGCACCCCGCGCACCCCGCGCCCGCGCTCTTGCCCTCACTCACCCTTATACACTGCTAAAAATCAACCCTTATATGACATTACAAAAAAAAAACATTAACTAATTGTTTAAATATGAAGATTTAATTTCTGTAATAGTTTTGATCATCGTTCAGTTACTAGGACAGATATTAACAATGAATTTTATCAAATTATATATAATATTATATCTTCCTTTTATCTAATCGATACTGTTGTAAAGGAGGTTAAAACGTAATTCTTAACATATCAAATAGTAAGAGTTTATCCTCTATTAAGTTGTTTTTCGACGCAATTAAACTTAGTATGTGACAAAATTTCTCATCATTACGTCAAATATATATATTAAATGAGTGTCCCGTCTAGTTCATCACTTGTTGCATCTCATCAACGTGACTCGCGACAACAGCGTGTTACTGTCCTAGCAGCGTGTTAGTGTAACACTCGTAGAGTATTAGTGATTCTAGCGTGTTTGAACTCCCAGAAATTGATGCTGTTCGGACGACGTGTTAGATGTCACGTCGCCTATTTATTCATGAAAATGAATGAATTAATCAAATCAATAAACTTATTGATACATTCACTAACTATGACAATCGTTTTTCGGTTGAAACAATTATAGGACATTTCGACACCAGAATTTTAGGGATTTTAGAATTATAGATGTCACTTTTGCAATAAAATTCATCATCATATCCATTTTGTTTATAATATTTTCGTGTTAGTTCTATCCATCCATCATACAGTTTTAGTGCAAATCATTTGGGGGATTCCAACTTGGTAATTAATTATTATTTATCAACGGATCATGATTGAAAACTTCATTTGTGTTGATTGACTCCAATAAATATAAGATTACACGAAAACGTATTGACTCACCTAGTTGTGTGAACATGGGTCTATATTACGATAAAACACATTGGTAATTTGGTTTTAGAATGTGTAACTTTACATCTATCTATCTGTACATTTAAGTGTTCTTCAAAAGCTGCTAAACTTCTTCTAGAGTCGCAACCATATATATAGAAATCTATTTTATGAAGATTATGCTATTATTTTATATTTTTGTTCATCTCAACTTTTAAAGTAAATCAGTTCGATAAGTGCTCTATTATTCAATTCTTCACCGACCGCTCTACCCCTAGCTAACTAAGCTACAAGGCCGGGGCCGGCAGTAAATAGCTTTGAACCCGCGTCGGCTTTCCAGAGGCACTATTTCGCGTCACCAATAACTTGAGTCTGGTATCGCGGCTCCTAGCGTCTCGCGTTCACAGGCGCCGCGCAAAACACGCTATCTGACGTTTTACGAGCTTGCCCCTCTCCCCCAAGCCGTCTTAGCTTCCCCACTCCCTGTCAATTATACCGCGACATCGGCCCCGTGGGTTTGATTCCGATTATAAAAGCAAGATCTAAGTGCCCGCCTCTACTGCACCGATAACTTCGAACACCCTGTAGTTTATTTACTTTAAACTAAGTTCAGTCCCCACTAAGAGCGCCACTAGATCTTTTAAAAACTGGGTGTTCTTGATGGGTAAATAAAAATTATCATTCACATTTTATGCTAATTACACATCCGAATTTTAGGAAGATTCTTCAAATTCTGAAGGCATCGACTTTGTACAAAGAGAATCAACGACGCGACGTTCGTCTTTACCAGTAAAAATAATGCTATCGACATTTGTGTTTCTATTTTTTTGCTCTTTAAACAAAAAGTATTTCGCAAACAAGACAGATCGTGGTAGATGTAACATGTTTCTGTCTAAATGTCTCGAGTACATCATAAGTAAATTATCATTTCAATCTACACTTAAGCGCTAATTAAAAACACAAATCAATTTTTGGGGCTCGTAAATTAAGTGTCACAATCAATCACGGAATTAATTATGAGGGTAGGTTGAGAGCTCGCATATTGAGTCTCGGGTGAGGTTGTAAGAACTGGTATGAACCGGTCCGAGGGCAAGATAAGCAGCTCGCGTTGCAGGACAAATTCGACAAACATCAGATCCTCCAATTAGGCGTTACTCGCCAGATTTATGGTTGTCCGGGAGTGGCGTGCTAAGGGCGGATTTATTAGCGCCCAGTCCGGACCGGGGACGGACTGATAGCGATGTAGTCCGGATACTGTCTCAGCACAATCATTGACTCCGTAAGGAAGACAAAGAATTGGGATGTAGACAATATTTTATTCTTTCTCGCCTCGAGGGGTTAAGAGTGATTTTATAGTTTTTACTTCACTATAGAAAAAGGCTTTGTTTTTGTGAATACGTATAAACTGAACTTCGATTTTGATACGTCTCGTATACATTAAACCATGTTTATTCCTTTTATGTGTAAAGCTTAATCTGAAATTAGTAGCTTTGTGTAAGTTGAACAATATTAATATTAAATTATCTACGACCGCATTAAAATAGATATTTTAATTATTTTGCTTTTAATTAAGGAATAAGAATAATATTTTGTGCAAAAAATAAACAACAGGTGAAAAATAACTGACACAGATCTGTATCATTTGCATTCGATTTAATTTTCTCCTTCACATCCGTACAGACATCCTCATTATTTTATATATATAGTCTGCGTTATATTGTCGTATATATCATAAATAACATGGGCGTGCGACTTGTGTCTGACGTCCGAGCAATTGACCTCTTCTTCAATACCATCCTCTCCTCAGTTCCTTGAATTTAATGATCAGTATTAGCTCCCACTGAAGACATTCTGCCATGCTGTAATGTTTGTTGCAAGCATCTATTTAGTGTCAAATTTTTATCGAGAATATTCAGCAGCATGCATCATTGTAATTATTTGGTATTTGTAGTTGATTTGAATCGATGGGAAGTGCTTTAGCTGAAGGAATTCAACGATAGCGAACATTAAATAGATTGTTAAAGACAAAATAATGATAACATGTTGTAATGTTTGTTGAAAAATACGCAGCGAGTTATCGTGCCGTAGATAGTAGACAGGATTAGCGTTACCATCTGCCTTTTGATTGATCATTAGATAACCAAATGATAGCGATTACTGGATGCCTTGATAACTTTAACTACGAAGCTTAGAAATTATTACAAACCAGTAATTTCGCGGCGGACAACTGCGACTGCATTCATCTTGATAAAGCGCACAGTTGAGCGAAAGGTGCCCGCGCTATCCACGGACTTATTTACGCTGTTCCGCTACGATCAAGATTTATAAGTTTTATTATGTTTCGTTAGCGTCGCTCGTTCGTATCGAGCCATCGACGCTTTATCGACGGTAATCGAATATTATATCGATTTCACGGCGAATTCTGGTGAAATTAAGGTATTGTTTCGGTGTTTGGAAATCGTCGAGTCAGCGCACTTTGTCCGCGGGTCTATTGTGACGAGCCCAGCCGGGTACGACGTGGCCCGGACGGCACATCTGATTACGTCGTCCGTCAAGCGCTCATGCCGAGGTCCGGCGTCACTCGAGACACGAGCCATCGCGATAGCGCCATTTGAATATTGACTAGTGCTTTTGGCGCTATGTCAGAAACACGCGCTCTTTTCCTTTGATCGGAATCGAGTCGGCACCAATGCGTGCGTTGCTGTGGGGCTACTAGTGCCCCGGGCGATGCATTCGGCGCATCTTTTGCGGGCGGACGATTGACGCGATGCGTTTTAATCAATTAGCGAGCGGGAACGCGGTTCTCGAGCCAGTGGGCAGTGAAACGAGCGCCCACCGCGGTGCACAGTTTTCGGTCGCGCTCTCCGATTTCAGTGACGTTTTTTTGACCACTTTTCGGATGATAACTTCATAATCGGAGCGAAAGTCGTCGCGGTTTCTCTTTTTGTGTTCACGGGTCGCGGATTCCCTCCCGGAGTCTTCACGCTCCGGGGATTAGCTTAAACTTGATACTCGACAAGGGATTGACGGTTCTTCGGAACGTCGCTCAACTCGACTGGAAGGAAGGACTCAATTTTACTGTTGCCTTACAACCTTGAACGTTGTCGTCGAATTTTCGAAGAAACCAGTCTACTATATTTGTTCTTGTTCGTAAATTGCATCGAATAACGTGTTTTTACTTCTAACATTGTTGATCAGGATGGATTCTTTGATCCTTTGTATTTACAAGTAGAAGTGGTTATTAGTGTAACAGCAGTCCACGTGACGTACTGCACGACATAGACAGTGTGTCAGCTGATATACAGCTTTGATCAATAAAAGATGGCGTCGATAGCCGGCGGTCAGTCACGCATCGATCACACGTTGACCGTTCACTCGCGATGCGCCACTTTTGGGTGTTTTTAACCATTTTTATCGGCACCATATCAAGTTGCAGCGATAAACTACAAATGCATTAACAATCCCACTATACTTTAACTGACCAGATTCAACTGACAGCTTTGATCTGGTATGCCACAAAATGTTTTCTAATATTTAGCTTTTCCTTGTCCACAGAAGAACCACCGGCCACCAGCCCCGATAGCGGCGTGAAGGAGCGCGGGGAGCGGCAAGAGGGGGGCGGTGCGTCCCGGGGCGCCTCCCCCGCTTCCCGCGCCTCCCCTGACACGCCTGCGACGCCTGCGACTCCCGCGACGCCCGCGCCTGATGACATCGAACACAGCATCCCCGCTAGCCTCATTCAGGACCCTAACGCTGACAGGTGGGTACAACATATACTTAGTGACCAAAAACATGACCTGAACAAAGGAACTTACGGTCCATGAATTCCATGTGATTGGTACAGATGTAGAATATAGTCTGGAAAAACGCATAGGCTACTTAGTTTCATTCTTATTAATTCCGCTCAGATGAAGTCGCGGTCGAAAGTGGATTTTAAATCGAGACTTTAGTATAATATATTCTTTTCCGCGAGTTTCTTAAGAGGCAGTTTAGTTAGTTGAAAACTATGTGCCGCATCAAACCATCAATTTCCAAAGTAACGTTCAATAATCTCATTCACATACGAAGCTTCGACTTGCAGCAGAGAGCGGCCACATTTTTTAGGAGCCGTCTAAATTGTTCCAATCTTCGACGGCAGATATCTTTTGGATGTCGTCCAAGTCGCTCCGTTAGCGCTCGAGCCTTCGAATTCGAGTCATATTTTGAGTGGTACGAGCTCTTGCAGGTTATAGCTCCTGACGTGTTGGTTACTGCAAACGAGATCTTAACGTTATGCAAAACGGAACACTTCATTTACACTATTTCTCTGATGAAATTTCACGAGAGTTCATATAGCGTAGCAGTTAGATAACTTAGCTCCTATATTACAAGTTTGAATATGAGAAAAGCCTATATAAAAGTGGAGTTAAAAGAATGGAATGAAACATTTACTTTAATTCCTAATTTGATCTTGTACATTAGTATCGAGATTTTGTTGTCATAAAAAGCGATTTGTAACCTAACTCCTGACTAAAAAAGGTTAAGGTTTTTATGTTAGCAAGTATTTCGATGCTCGCGAATATCAATCTTTGATCACTATTAGGCGAGTTCATAATAGTATAGTAGAGTCATATTGTCTCAGCACTGGTGGTCCGGCGTCACTCCGCGGCGGCTCTAACGATGCCATTGTTTCCGATGATGAGTTGTCGACTGCTGTCCACGCCACCGCTCCTCATACCACCGACCACCGTTGACCCACCTCTTAATCTCTATCACAACTACTTAAGAACTATAATCGATTAAACTAAGGACAATATACAACTGGATATGTTAAAGTAACGAATGAACATGATCGTGACAGCAATGGACGATTGCGGAGGTAAAAGCGGTCGAGTATTTTTCGTATGACAATCAATTTTAGTTTAATAACTGTGATCAAGTATTTCGTTCGAGAATCCATGGAAACAATGCAATAGCTTCGATTGATTTATACAGATAATATAACGCCAGATAACGTACCGACAAAGCATAAATCACTTTATTATTCACGAGGTGTTATCTATAACGGTAAATACTCGCTTTTGGTATATTGGATATGCTTTTGGGACATTTTTGATTCACTCTTTATTAACGTTCAGGTGAAACGAATCTATAGTCAAATGGATAATCAATTCGAAATAAAAAAAATAAACTTTTTATTAATTACAATCGAGTTGTATGAAAAGAAATGAAAGTGACCCAGATTTCTTATTACTAATATCGATAAAATGTTGCGATTAAAAACCGTATAATGTTAGTCTTTTACTTTATATTTATGAAGAAAAACCTATTGTAACAAGTTAAAAATAAATAATTAAATTAAATAACAAATAATCCATATTATATGATTTTATTAAAGTTAAAGGTAAATATATTTGATGAAGAACTCGTAACGTATTGTTTCATATTTCATTGTAATAAAACATTTGTTTAACTCTGGAATGTTTATGGTGTCTTTTTATTTGTTACCATAGACCACTTGAGTTCACATCACTCCAATGTTAGTGTCACCTCTGAGTTAATTTATATTGTTTGATAGTTTTAACATCTCATCATATATCTTTTGTTTCCTTCATTATTGAAACAGTTGTGTTTTGTTTAACAAACTTTCTTAGCTGTCGAATAAAGTCAGAGGTCTCGATACGAGAATAAAACAGGAGCATCTGTATTTAATTATGTTAATGGCCACACATAAATTTTAATATCGATTAAGAGCAAAATCAATATATTAAAAACTATAAATATTTCAAGACAGGTCCGACGTCAAGTAACAAAATTATATCTGACTCATTAATTAGTAAATATCAAAGTTTTCTAAATTTTAAAAACTACGATTTTATCAACATCCTGTGTCACAAATGCGTCTTAGATATTTAGATGAAATTCATCTCTATATCTTAGTTTTTTTTTGTAAAAAGTGTTATAGTGGTGACGGCAAATGGTACATTTGTGTTGGGCGAGCGTTCCCTGTTCCATCACTGTCAATTAGTGGCAGAGAAGAGACGTCATCAATCATAAACATCCTCTGTAGCTCCGCGGCAGACGTCCTCAGGGCATATTGTTTACCTTTCTGATTTACACGTTTTATTATTCTGCTTATACATCGGCAAGAGCATTAACAATTCTATAATTTATCGGACAGATATTTGTAAATGTTTGCTTTTGAGTTTCTAATATTTTAAAGAAGTGTAGCTCGTAGGGCTGTCGATTTAGATTATTCCTATTATAATAATTGGTCTAGAAAACGGATCTATTGTCTGACTCATAGGATGTCTAAAATGCCATATAATGCATTAAAAATAATTATCTATTATCCGTACAAAACACGATATTAGATACGGATTTAATTAAATACAAAGCGTCCATTAATTAGAACAGAACAAATAAAATAAAATTGTTTATTAGAAATTAAGTGTTTTCGAAGTGTTATTTATTGCTTTGATTTTATTTTGCTTGTGAATAAAATGTTTGAAATAAGGTCGACGTGGAGACGACGTTTTTATTTACACAAATTAAAATATTGTTTTTAATGTGGTCATCAATCTGTTTTATCGCTAATGAACGCTGGATGTGGACGACAAGAGCACCAGCGGACACATCACATCACCATACTCCAATTTTAATGTTAACACTTCAAATGCTGACCAGTTTTAAAATTCACATTATTACGTTTACTAATTCTATAAATCTCTTATTAAAGCTAAATGTGAAACGAAATTTTACGAGTCTGATACTAGATTTGGATATTGAGCATTCTGATTGTAAATATAGACAGACAGAATTTTTAACTATGAAAATATCTTAAAAAAGTAACTGGATAGTGTTGATACATTGTTTTTGTTACGCATTTGAGAATTGTGTTTTGTTTTCAATGTTATATAGAGTGCTGGGGAGAGTAAGCAGAGATAACAAATGTGTCACATAAAAACTAGTGATTAATTAACCCGCACTCTAATTCACTATGGAAGCAATTAACATCTGCCGAATCTGACGGGGACTTTAAATTTATGCTGATTCCATAAAAACATCTTTCTGTCTGATCTTGATCGTTTTAAATTTAAATTATGTTTTGGATTAGTATATAGTTTTAAAAGATATTGAATTTAAGAGGAATTGATAATTAAGATTTGTCTCGTGTGCTCTTTATTTAGTAATATTTTTAAAGGAATGTGGCGGATAAAGATCGATCAAAACTTTGATAAAATTATCAATAAATAAAAAAAATCAGATAAACCGGTGGTTTCCCCTTGAGTGATAGGTCTTTCCTCATATTTTTTGCCGTCTCATAATCTGCATAGACTATTGAAAGAAGTAATTGTATTGCAAATATAAAGATGTTCCTATTGGCTAGAGAAGTTGTCAGTGAGTGGTGTCAGGTGAGTCAGCAGTCAGTAATCGCTCCGCTGTCGGCTGTCCGACTGTCAGCGGGGCGATCGCACTCGTCAGCTCGTCACTGCACGTCCTCGCGCATCGCACGCACGCTGCATCACGCAGCGCACCACCCCTCACAACACAACACTATCAGTTGTCTCGCTCCTTCGCTCTCATTCGTCCGCCCCACCCGCAGCCGTCCCGTTCGCGCGGAGGGCGTGCGGGGAGAGGGCGCTGCGGGCGGGTCGTAAATCACACGGCGTCTCATTCCACGCGGGACCGCCGCAGCTGCCGCATGCCCGCACTCCCCGTCCGACCGGCATCGCGGCGCGTCTTACGCGACTTGTTTACTTCTAGCCAGTTTTGGGAAGTCACCTTGTTCTATTGTAAAATAGTGTTCAGTATTGTTAAAGTGTTGTTACATGGATCCGAGACACTTCGAAATAACTCAGTGTGGAGTACTTTGAGAAAATTTCGTCCAAAATGATTGTCGAAGCTGACCACGTGAGGTAGGTTCTTGTGTTTGGTCTTTCAATGTTTTCTTTTATTATAACATTTTATTTTTTTTATTTAATATTGTTTTAAATTATTTGTTTTTGAATGTTAAATTCAGTTTAACGTAAAAGAAGAAGAAACGCATCTGTTGTGTTCGTTCTTATTTTGACAATATATTGTTTTACATTTTATCATTTCAGATAAAATATTTGAACTTATTTAAATTTATAATAGCTAAAGGTGATCTTCAGCAAAAAAACTATTTGATAAAAGTAACATTTTTAAAAATAATTTTGTTACAACTCGATAAATTCCAAACAATGTATTTTTTTCGATGCTTACAAACCATTATTAAAATATCTGTAAATCAATCTATACATTTTAATCTACGTTAATGGTAAACTTTATCACAAGACGAAAAGTTAACTGTAGTTAAAGTTTGTTGTTTAGTTTAAGAGACGTCGTTTCTGTTTCATTAAAAACAAATAAATTAAGATAAAAACTATTGAAACCAGTAAGCTAAAATTATTTAACTAAATTATTGAACATTGACCTTGTATTAAAAAAAATTACGACGTCTAATAATTTTATATACAAAAATACGATCAACCTGTTCGCTTTAAACAGTGATTCTGTTTAACAAATAAACGTCTGTTAGAATAATTGATTATTGTTGGGTCTTACAACATATGCTATCGAAATTTATGTGTGTCAGTCATCCATTATGAATTCTGTGGAGCAAATAATAAAAAAAAATTTGGTAGTATAATTATTCCGATAGCTCGAATATTGGTCGCGAATGTTTTATTGTATCCACTATTGAATATATCGTTGAAGTAAACATGTCACAGGTCACACAACCGGCTGATGTCTAATATTATATTAATCAGTGTAAATCTTAAAAGTTATCTTAGATCATTAATAGAAATATATGCAACGTTGACACGTTCGTGACATCATTGAATATTTCTATAGTAAAATTACATCTACATACGTAAAAGTTTGCTATCGCTGCCCTATGTAAATTATTTTATGTTGAAAAAAAAATGATTAGAAATCCATATGGAAACACATTCCATTTCCAACAATATTGGCATTAGTTTTCATTGCAGCCACTGTTACGTTAAGTTTAAAATCTGTGAATTTGTATAAACTGTGTCATCGTTTTAAGTGCGTGTTATGAACTTTTGCCCGTTTGTCCAAGGAAAAACTATTATTATTGATATTCTTGCAAATAAAATACATTATTTCGCCCTATGTTTAAAGAAGTTAATTATCATAAAATAATATCGAATTTATTTGTCGACAGGGAGAGTCCAAGATGTTTATCGCGGGAGTCTTCAGGCGCTCCGCGGTGTCCCTCCAACGACTCAGTATACTCGGGGCGCAGCGCCGCCGGGTTGGGCCTGCCCGCAGCTCTGACTGCCGCCCTGCCCGCTGCACTGCCCGCTGCGCTGCTGCCCCCGCACTCGGCCGCCGTCGCCGCCTATCTGGGCGCAGCGGCCGCTGCGGCGCAGCAGCGCCTGCTCATGTCCTGCCACGAGGACCTCGACTCGGACCGCGCCGACGCCGTGCTCGACTTTAGCACCAAGCGCGGTGAGTCTCCGCACGACGACGATGACGAGGACGTCGTCAATCTCAGCAAGACGCACGAAAATGGACCCCTCGACCTCTCCGTCGGCACTAGAAAACGCGGGCCAGACGACTCGCCTTCCCCTGTCCCGACGAGAAAGAGCTCTAGGTCTGAATTCAAACCCGTACCGTCGCCCTGGTCGACGCCGGTGGCGCCGCACTTGCCCTACTTTGCGGCAGCGGTGGCGGCCGCTAGCTTATCGCCGAAGGGCGGCGTGCCCGCAGAGTGGAACGGAAAATTAAAACACGGAACGCCGACACCTAGCGATGCCACCAAAGCCTTAGAAAAGATGAGCGAGCTGAGCAGACTAGGCGGCGAGGAACTATTCAGATCCGTCCAGAACGCGGCACTGGGCGCTGGATTGACGCCGAACGCGGCCGCACGCCACTCCGCTTGGCAGTCGCACTGGCTCAATAAGGGAGCCGATCAGACCAAGGACGTTCTCAAATGCGTCTGGTGCAAGAAAAGCTTTAACTCTCTTGCCGATCTCACCGTTCACATGAAGGAAGCGAAACACTGCGGCGTCAACGTGCCGGTGCCACCTGCGACCGGTGCGCCGCTACCGCCCTCGCTGCAGCCGCCCTCCAGCTCGCCCTCTACACCCTCGCACAACTCCTCCTCCTCAAGCGGCTCCTCGAAGCCGAATCATAACGATCTTAACATGCTCATCAAGGAAAACATGCCAATACCCAGAAAATTAGTACGCGGGCAGGACGTCTGGCTAGGGAAAGGCGCCGAGCAGACTAGACAAATTTTGAAATGCATGTGGTGTGCCGAAAGTTTCCGATCCCTCGCTGAAATGACAAGTCACATGCAGCGCACACAGCACTATACGAATATCATATCTCAGGAACAAATAATCTCGTGGAAATCGTCCGACGACGGCAAGGGCGGCAACGCCAGTGCGCCCGGCGCTACCAGCGCGGCGCCGCCCGCCACCGGCAACAGTAGCCATGTCAGCGCCGTCTTGACGTGTAAGGTTTGCGACCAAGCATTCAGTTCCCTTAAGGAACTTAGTAATCATATGGTTAAGAATTCACACTACAAAGAACACATCATGAGGTCCATCACTGAAAGCGGCGGCCGAAGAAGACAAACACGAGAGAAGAGGAAGAAATCATTACCGGTAAGAAAACTTTTGGAACTCGAGAGAGCACAACACGAGTTTAAAAATGGAGAAGGCAATGGTGTTCCCATGGGAAAGCCTATTCGCGATTTCGGCGCGGGTAGTCGGATAACCTGCGAGAAATGCGGGGATAAAATAGAAACTGCAGTGTTCGTCGAGCATATAAGGCAATGTATCGGAGCTCCCATGTCCAACAACCAAAGGAATTTTCTTAAAAGCGCACTTATGTCGAACAACATTATCCCGCCCGACGTTCCCGGCCACGTGACACCGACCGGCCGCGACGGCCGCAAAAGCATCAACGAGGAGTTACCGTCCCCCGGGTCCGCTCACCATCGCTCCCCTTCCTCGGTGAACGATTCCTCCCCAAGTTCCAAAGACCCGAACGCGAGTAACGATAAAAGCTCTTCGCCTTCAGTTTTAAATGCCATCGAACAGTTGATCGAAAAGAGTTTTGACACTCGTTCGCGGCATTCCGTTCCCGGCATGCCCGGCGCCGCCTCCCACGCGCCCATCGGCTCCAGTATTCTGAAGCGACTAGGCATAGACGAGAGCGTAGACTATACTAAGCCCCTAGTGGACCCGCAGACAATGAGTATGTTAAGAAGTTATCACCACCAACAAGGCTACGGGCGGCGCGAACGCAGCGGCAGCGAGTCCAGCTCGATGTCGGAGCGCGGGGGCAGCAGGGTCGAGTCCCTGACGCCCGATAGGAAGTTAGATGCATATCATATGACACCCCGAACGACACCCGATACGCGCGGCTCCCAAACGCCGGCGTCAGAGGATCGTCCAACCGAAGTCCGCATAAAGAAGGAAGTTCCGGACGACGACGAACGTGAAAATGGCGTCGATCTCAGTCAATCGGTTCGTGTCAAAACCGAGGTAGAGGATGAGGAAGATACCCCGAGGCCAGGCAGCTCGACGGAAGAGGACGTGAAGCCGACGATCCCGAAACGCGAAAGCGAAGGTCCCAGCCCAGCAGCCAGCCCTCGCAGTCCCGCCAGCGATCGCTCCGGCAACACGCCGGGCTCCGACCGCAAGCCGCCTTCAAGCTTGGGTGCACTATCGTCGATGTTTGATAATCTAGCAGGCGGCGGGTCAAGCGAGCCTAGCTCGTCCCGCCGTAGTGGCAGCCACCCCCTGGCAGCGCTGCAAAAGCTGTGCGACAAGACAGAGAGCAATCCATCGCGTGCACCCCCGCCGGCACCCTCGCCTGCTGGCCCGCCAAGTATCCTCACCTTCAGCTGGGCGTGCAACGACGCCGTGGTTACAGATTCCATTATGAAGTGCGCCCTGTGCGATACACCCTTCATTTCTAAGGGAGCGTATCGGCACCATCTGTCCAAAATGCATTTTGTGAAAGACGGCGCCCTACCGGAACCGGTGCCCGTGAAGGCTCCGCCTGCGGCCGGCTCGCCCGGCGCTCACAAGGGCGGCGGGTCCAGTGCCGCCTCGCCTCAGGACCCACGCAGTCCCTCGCAGCCCTTCGACGAAAGCCCTCACTCCAAGTTCTTGAAGTATACGGAGCTCGCGAAGCAGCTCTCGAGCAAGTACGTGTAGGGCTGGCCGCGCGCCCACCTCGTGATCGCACCATATCCGCTACCTTAAACCTTGCTAGGTGTAGGTCGCCGCGGCGACGCTAAGTATTTCGAAACTCTTTGCCAATTTAATTATTTTAGGTAATCGTTAGAGTTCACCGCATAGTTCGGTTAGTGTAATTACGATTAGCGACATAAGTATACGCCAAACGTCTTACGTTCGTCTAGATATAAGAAAATATTTTGAAAAGTTGCCTTTTGGTGAGCGGGGTGTTTCCGTGCGCACGCGCTCCGCGCCCCGCGCCGGCCGCTGCTTATCTTCCACATTACGTCGTAATTCCATTTCGATAATTGTAAATAAAAGTCGCATTAAGTCTTAAAGTTCGATTCGATCTCTTTGTAAATCCTTTGTGCTGTCTCGCCGCGTGACGTGAGGGCGCTCACTTCTCGCTGTTGGATGGTAAATTGTTGCAATATAATATTTTTGTGTTACTTAATTTGATGTTTGTAAATCGGAGTTAGGCTTAGCGTCCTCGGTTGGTTGTTTGTATATTTTGAAGGCGCGCGGCCGGCTGTAATCTCGGAGATCCAATCTCAGTGGGCTGGGAGAGCCGCGCGCTGTCGCGGCTCAACATTAACGCAATATAACAATCTCCTTAGTGTAAATTTCGCTCTAGACCCCCATATGTTCTCCCCGCGAGATTGCTATTTATTATTTAGTGGTAAGTACGATACGTAAGTTTAGGCGACCTCTCTGTGAACACTTGTATACCATTGCCCCGGCGCCGGCGCTGTCCGGCCCTGTGTGCCGAGCTGTACTAAATAAAGAAATCGTGATAGTATGTTTTACAATATTGATTTGTTTAAAAGGACGACTACATTCGTATACGGTTAGAGATGTTCAAATGTAACGAGAGAATTCTTCCAATTTGACAACAAGATATACGAGTTGTATATACGGTACTTGCGAGTGAAAAACTCTTTTATATTTAATAAAAATATTGTAAACTGTCGAAAGTAAGTTGCAGAAGATATCAGTCGGTTCTTTGCGGTCGCCGACTCGTAACATGACCGTCACGCACTGTTCATGTATTATTTTATTTTTGTTAAAATTATTTTACAACAATTGTGTTTTGTTTACGAATGTACTTTTATATATGTTTTTGTACTAACTACTGTAATGTGCAGTTGTGTTACGATCGCGTCTCGCAACAGTGATGTTCGGAATCGATTAATTATCATTTTAAAGATAATTAAACAAAACATACGACAAATATAATGTATACGCTAACTCTGATGAGAGATTTTTGCTCATTCATTAACGAAAAAAAATCGTGTTGAAATATTGATTTTACCAAATTAAATAATCTTATTTAATATTTTATGTTGTATTTCAAAATGCAATTAAAAGCTCAAAGAAATATATATGTTAAATACTTTAATCGGTCTCTTTTATTTAATCCTTCCCAGTCACACTAAATATGAAAAACAGGACATACTTTAAAAGAACTGATGTGGGTTTCCACTGACGAAAAACCTGCACAAAGCACTTTCACTTATTTTTTCATAAAGAATGACAAATTACAAGGTAATTCGTCAGTAAAAATCCACGCTGAGGAAAATCAAATCGTTTCCAATAAACCTGCAAAACAATAAATATAAACCCAGTACTAATATAATTCTGCTAAGACTATATTACCATATTGATGCCTTCTGCTTCCATTGATTTATTCTAGAATATCACCTAAAATACAGAAAATACCAATGAAACATTATCTTATACAACATTTAAAACTTTTAAATAATTGAGGTTAATTTGCAATATTCATGTAAGCCCATCACACGAGACTTGTCTCGTTTGTATTGACATCAACTCTATTATAAATACGTAAAGATTCAAATACAGTGATTGCAGCGCCATCTGTTATCTCACCGTGCATCCACACCGGAGGTACTTTTCGTAGATCTAATTTTCTTAGTGTTTACTCAACAACTTCCCATAGCAAAATGTTATTTGTTGTAAATGAAAAAAAAAATTAATAACTCATGTATTCTTCCAGATTATACTCTACATATATACCTAAATTCACGGAGATCCGTTAAGATTTTCTGAAAATATGTACGTTCTAAAAAATCTATCAATATAATTTTATAATATAATAATATTGCATTTATATAATAATATTATTAAGATAAATGATTTGCTGCCTGTAAATGTTGGTAAACCTATGCGGTGCTACTTGATCTTTGTTGAAAGTTATTGTTTATGTTGCTGGTATAGACGCGATCAGCAACAATTAGCTAATAATAACAAGAGTCACAAATATTACGAATAGCACTAGCAACAAACTACTAGCAATAACCTAATGTTAACGTGTTGAATTGTATTAATCCAAAGAAGTTAAGCGATCTGGATGCACAGATTGGTAAAAGATTTTCTAAAAACTATTCTTAATTTAAAAAAAAAAACAAAAAATCTGACTGACTAATTCTAATGGATGAAGTAACGCCATCTATTGACTGCATTTTAAAGCAAAGATTTTAAAACATTTAAATTAAATAAAATGCAATTTTCAGACGTTTAGGCTCCAAGCCGTTTTAGCGAAATATGCATACATACAAACCGACTTACATAAAAACAAACATACGTGCGAAAATATTGCACTCCTGTCAGTCAAAGGCAAAAGAATTTATAACCAGATGTTTTTATTCAGAACGAATGTCGTTGAATTATTTTAAAAAAAATTACTTGTTTATTGGATTTCGGTGTCGCGATAAATAGAATAGTATATACTGCCAGTATCAAACAATATTTTATTCTTTAATCATTTAGTAATAAACGTTATCTGTTGTTGTCACATTACGACGCACGCGTTGATTGATTTGTGATATTTAGCTAATAACGCGTTCTATTAGCCGTTGATAAGGAATCAATACGAGAACGACCTTCTTTGGTATAGATAAACTCTACGCTGTCGACGATCCTTCCTAATTAGAAGGTCGATGTCCTGAATACATATTAACCATAGCAATAGTACATTTAGGGAATTAATTCAAATCATGAAATACATTTTTTTTTGTTTAAGCATACCTTCATTCACATCGGTAACCAAAGTGGTAGGTAGAGATGACAGATTTGCATACAAGAAATGTTATGCATTTATTATTTGCAATTCTTGCTTTATAATAATTGCTTTTACTGTTTTTTATTTAGTTATTGCCCTAACGACAAGAATCTCCCTCCCTATCTCTCTCGCTTTCTCACTCTCTCTCTTTCTCTCTCTCTAACAACGCTTGTTGCCAGTAGAGTTCCCACCATCTCTCACATAAAGCCAACGTTTAGAGATCACTGATTGAGACGTCTCAACTCTTAGCGAACCTCACCTCAATCACGGTAATGACGTCATTTGTATCTGTTTGCGCGATTCAGACAGGTCTGCGACGAAATAAGTGTTTACGGGTACATTGCTCCTTTTATTAGCTGTATGGTTATTGATTGTAAAAGAAAAGCAGCAATGGATAGCGAAAGAGGTTAGTAAATAGGTGACGGACGACACGTCAGTCAAACGGTTGAAAGTTCAATGTTTGTTAAGTTTGAAGAACATAGGGAAATGAATTCGCATTGATTGTGTTTGGATACACAAAAACTATATGGATTTTTTTTTTATATCATAAGGCGGCAAACGAGCGAGCGAGCCACCTGAAATCGCTTATATAGCGAAGTGACCGTTGCCCATAGACATACGCAATTTCATATGGGTTGCCTACCTTTAATCGACGGAGGAGAGGTCCACTTCCACTTCCCATCCCTTCCTTATAAGAAAAAGGTGGGTAGGGAAAGAGGACTAAATTAGGCCTCCGGGACGCACACTCATCAGACGAAACGCGGAATTGCTTCCACTGCACGCCTGTCTTCTATGTGGTCGTGGTATTTCACCGGGCGAACCGGGCCAATTCGTGCGAAGATGTTAAAGCGGGCTCTACCCCTGTTGAAATGTTTAGGAGTTTGATTGCTGATGTTTAGTGATTATTATCAACGGCTGTAGAAAAGATATAGTTTCCGAGTTTTACATATATTGTCATTATAGTAAATTCAGCCCGTATTCAGAGTAACATAAACTTCAGATACGTATTAGACCTTGAAACCTAGAATATGAGGGTAAAATTACAATTTGCATAATTCTACCGTTTAGCTCATATGACGTAGATAGGAGCCAACTTTGTCATTGACATTGCCATTTGACCTCTAAATAAATTAAAAACAAACTTTGAATTAAAAAAATGAAATTGTCTTGTTATTTTCTTCCATCGTTTGTTTGAAATTTCTCGTCCGTATGTTCTCTCTCGTGTCTGAGATAAACGCGGCGGCGATGTCTGTCTGTACATCTAATAATGGCGCTAATTAAAATGACGTTTTGTTTTATGTCATCAAATTAATGTAGGCCACAGCCGCGGGCCCTCAGCCTCGCCCTCTTGATGGATAGTTTGATTTACAACCTTCATAATATTTGTTATGATCTCAAAATGGAAGGGTTTTGTTTTTATTTATTACAGCTCGTTAGCAAATATTATTGGTCTATGAAATTGTATTATAAAACCGTTGATACACAAGCTATATTCTCTCAAAGAAAAAGGTGGGATTTATTTTCATAGTTTCGTGCTAAAGATTCATTACTTTCTTAAATAGCGATTGCTTTTCGTGAACACAATATCAACTGTCGAATTAAAAACTTATAAAAACGCTTTGACATGATAAAATTTGTATAAGATAAATTAATATTGCAATAACATTTCTACGAAAACAACATTAATGATGAATGATTTAAATTACCCAAAATACATTCCGATAAAAAGTTATTAATAAATTTGTTATCTGTGAGACAATTTCCGGTGTGAATTGCAAACAAAAATAAAATCGAATCACGTAAATACAGCCCTGGTAGAACCTTCTAAATAGGTGATGAGGTGACGCTGAAATATAAACGAAGGAAGTGAACGACAAAAGCCTGTTTGAGTCTTCATTAGTAAGGACAAGTCGGAGGACTGTCGGGCTGAGTGATGGCTCGCCATCGCCGTGACCCCACCGCTCAGTAAATACATAGATTTGGATCGCGCAATCATTGATTTACTTTGAGGTCGCCGTAATAAGTGGATTGATGTTCAAAGAGACCTGTCATTTGTCAATGACCCGCGGCAGGGGGACGGATTCAGAAACACTATTTTATGTCTTTGCTTTACTTACCTTTACTTAATTTAAATTGCTTTGTTATAAGCGAATTAAATTACGTTTATTTTTTTTAAAGTAACTTTTCTATTGGTGCATCTTTAATACCCCATCAAATGTTATTTATTTTTAAGAAAAGTTTGAAAAAGAATGCGTATGTTTGGATGTATTAGAAAGATGGATGTTTGTTAGAAGGTATTTCCGAAACGGCTGCACGGATCACGCTGAAATTTTACATACATGTAGAACATAGTTTGGAAGAACACATAGGCTACTTATTAGGTTTTTAATTGCACGCAGATAGAGTCACTGGCGACAGCTAGTTCTTTGTATAAATGTGAAGTAAATTGTAGTTCCAGTGTCGATGAGGGACGATTAATTAATATTAACATTAGAGTGTTGCCAGCTAGGTTAGGTAGCAGGCAGTGAGTGCGCCAGGTGGTCAGTGCCAGTTTATTCCACGTTTAAATGATTACCATCTATCACACTAATGGTGTCGGTTCAAATCCCAGATGCACTGCCCCCGCCCCCGCCTCCGCCCCGCACACCGCGTCTCCGCCCCCGCCCCCGCCTCCGCCCCGCACCTCCGTCACCATTTATCATATCACTTTCGAAAATGTATTATAGAATTTATTTTATATTTATTATTGCTCTTTAAATTCATTTTAAAGAAAATAATTAAAAATCTGTTAATTGAAAGTATTTAAAATTAAAATCACTGTCAATCCCAGTTGTCAAAGTGATTTGACAGCTGTCAAGATTGCTTAATATTAATTTTGTTTTTCAATTTAAAAATATCTTGTAGAGTCCACTATCCGCAATTTTAACTAGTTACATTACTGATAAATATTGGATAATTCATAAATTTAAAAACATATGTTAAACATTTAAAAACGAAATTATAATATTATTTACGCACGCCCAAAATTATACATCATGTCAAGACGACTTCCTTGCGCATATGTTCCACTCGTCAATTACGTATGACGGAAGGACCTGGCGTCCGCCGGGCGGGGGGCGCTGGGGACCGCGGGGGCGATACAGACCCGCTCTAGATATATTCCCGTCCATCAATCCCGGGTGACGTTGACGGGTCTGAATAGCGTGCAAGTGCCGCCGGGTATTTTAGACCAGGG